ATCCATGAAGTCACTGACAAGTGGAATGAGTCATGTTGGTAGATGTAGACTACCTGGTTGGGGTCCGCGAGACGAAAGTCACCGATGATTAGAGACCTTGAATGACATGGCTCAGAATCGTTTGCAATGGCGCAAGTGCATCCATTCGTTGAGCTCTCTCAAATCCTAATGTTCTGGAATCGTCAACACCTCTACCTTTGTCTTTCTAACCTTATCTCACTTAATTATACTTCTTAAATAATATCTTCAAACCCTAATCTTCTTCATTACCATTAATACCTCTACTATCTTTATCACTATGAGATTTGATTTGACATTTGCGTCACTGTGTGCTAATGTGGTATGGCAGCAACATGAACTTATGTACTTACATACGAAGTTCTTACGTTGTAACTGACTGACCGACTAACTAAGTTTATAAAACATCAGTCAGCATGTTTAGATGTTTAGTGTTTCGGGAAAGTATTACAATCCTTCAAAAACATTTCTAACTGATATAAAATGCAAAAATAATTAAATAGTTTCAACTGTTCTATTAGATTATTCATACAACCAATGTAATGCGATATGTAACAGGAAGTGAAAGATATTCAATAGTTTTCTCTTACTGACTAAAATACCTAGTAGTATTAATAATATTTTAATAAAGCTATTTTGTTTTGTTATTTAGTGAAATTAAGTTGATTAGAGACTTCTCTCGAAATACTTGTTTATCTATTTGAGATCTTGAAGTTAATTGAACGTTACAGAACAACTCTATTTCACTTAAATATATATATATGAATTAGAATCGGTTAGGTTCAGTTCTTTCATTGGCTAAACAAGTACTGTACTTGTGGAAATGGGAAGCAATGAATGAATGATCTTATAAGTGTTCGATTGTTTTGAAGACGATTATATAAGTACAACTAAAGTTAACAACAATGTAGAACTTCGTATGTAAGTATATCAAATCAGGTTGCCATAACGAATCAGCACAGAGACGTAATTGTTAGTTTAGAACCCCATAGTGGTAGAGATAGTAGAAGTAATAGGGGTTCATAGATATTATTCATGAAGTATAATTCATTGAAATAAAGTTAAATGGAGTTCAAGATATTAGAATTTGAGAGAACACAAAGAGTGGATGCAATTGCGCGATTGCAAATAATTTTGAGCTATACCGTTCAAAGTCTCTTACCATCGGTTACTGTCGTCTCGCGGACCCCAAACAGGTAGTTTACATCTACCAGCATGACTCAGTCCACTTGTCAGTGATTTCATAGATTTGTGCCATGTTTTGGTCTGGCCGCCCCTAGCTTTCTTCCAATCTACCCCTACACTACAAAACATAGCTCGTCGAGGCAGTCGGTGGTTGGGTATATGTAACACATAACCCAACCACCTCATCTAATGATCTTTCAATACTTCATCTATTGATCTGCCATCCTTTCCAAGAACTCGATTCCCAACTATAGTATTGCTTACTCAGTTGTACCACCAGGATATACGAGTAATGTTCCAAAGACTTCTGTGAAACAGTTGTTCTTTGTTCAGTAGTTTTCAATGGTTTCATTGTTGGCATCGGTTAGTAGTGGTAGTTAGCTTGAAATTATATGATTTTATGATATACAGTATGAAAATACTTTTAAATCTGTATACTTATCAAATATATAAGTAATAAAGGTCAGAGAGAAAGAGAGAGAGCTCCACCGATATGCCACCTTAACGGGACTGAAGTTTACTGGTTATAATATTTACTACAACTTCTATCGAGTTCAGTCCTTGATGCAAAACTGATAAATTAATTGCGGGGTATAGTCCTAAGAAAATAATGAAACAGATTTCCAGGGTCACTCGAATTTCAACTGGTTTCTAAGTGATGTTAATTTGTTGCGAGATATATCTCATAATGAACTAACTCTCTATAATAAACAAACATTTTATTAATACTTTGATGTATGTTCATGTGCAGTGAAGGAGAACACAGGTGAGGCCAACCGAATATGTACTTATTGCAAATTACAGAGTTACTCAGTAAAATAGGAAAACCATATCGTAAACGGTTAATTTGCAACTCTTCAATCCATCATCATCAATCCATTGTCTGACATTTCACTACTGTTCATGCGTTTCATACAAATTCCATTGTGTTCTTCTAACTCTTCCTTTCTCTTGATCTTCCCCCATCTTCTGCTGCCAGACATTACGTTGACACTCACGTCATATACTACTTATAAGTAGCGCGCACCACACATGTGTCACTTTTATAACATAAAACTTCACAAATATTTGTTTGTACTATCCAACTTATTGTAGAAAATATTGCAAAACTCTATTTTTAGCCATTTTCGAGAATCCTTAAACATTAAAAATAAACCTTGAACTAAAGGTTCAAAATTCGACCTTACGATTGAATTCATCTATATCTAGCAGGTTAACACTTATACTACAACATTTAACACATCGTAATAACATTAACTGATTGGATATATATTTTTTCCAAGTTTTATTGAATTGACTTGTTATTCACAATGTTTCACTTGATTAGGCAAGACTATCTGGAACATATTTGTAAACTTGGTAGTTTGTTTTGCATCAACATTTCAATTTCTGAGTGATTAGGGGCTTTCCTTGTTCATTCATCAGTCAATGGCGTATGTGTTCGGATTCCATGCCAATAACTCCAGTTACGTTGTAGTGAATGAGAACACCGGTGGGGTAACCGAATTGTATTTAGCAAAAATTACAGAGTTACTCAGTAAAATTGGAAAACCATATCGTAAATCGTTCATTTGCAAATTATCAGTCCATCCTATCGAACTGGACTGTTCCTGTTGCAAAACATCAACAATCCATTGTCACTATTCATGAGTTTCATACAAAAATTCCATTGTGTTCTTCTAACTCTTCCTTTTGTTGATCTTCCCCCATCTTCTGCTGCCAGACATTACGTTGACACTCACGTCATATACTACTTATAAGTAGCTCACACCATAACGTTAGGCAGGTTATACTGCTACAGCCGTTGCATAATCTTGTCTAATCAAAGCCAAATGTATAAACTTGTTTATCTGTCACTCAGTTAGTAATTTACAATGTAGAATTTTGTACGTACATACACCAGTTCTGGTTGTCATACTATATTGGTACAAAGAGAATTGTCAGTTCAAGTCACATGGTAGTAGAGGTAGTAGTAGTAGCAGTATTACCAGTAATCGGAAAGATTAGGGATCAAATATATGGTTGGAGAAGTATAACCCAGTGAAATAACTTTAGAAAGCCATGTCATCTAAAGTTTCTAACCATCGGTTATGAGGTAGTCAGCACCTATTAACATAGCCTAATCCGATTGTCATTGATTTCATGTACTGGTGTCATGTTTTGAGTTGGTAGCCCTTAGGTTTGTTCTGGACTACTCCTAAGCCAAACAACATTTCACGTCTACGTAGGCATTGGTAAGGCATACGTTACACATGTCCCAACCAACTCAAGTTCCTTTCCTTACACCAGCACCGCTTACTCGGTGGTCACAGAATATACGAGTGATGCCTCCAAGATACTTGTGATCGAATACTAGTAACCTACGATTATTCCCCATTCTTAGTGGCCATTTTTCACGGAGTGAACTACTGTACAATAAACTGATCCTTTGGTTAGTAAACAGACATCTCGCCTACGCCATAAGTGACGCAAGTTGACAAAAGCCAGTCGAGACTTTTATATCCATGCTGACATTTCGTCACCTACGAAGCCATCAACATTCACGAGACTTCCTAGATAAGTGAAGCGGTCAAGACGCTCAACTACCTCACTTTGTATCAATTGTTGAAGTGCCTATGTAAGCCAGCCTATTGTGAAGTAACATTTTGTATTTCGTGGGGGAGAGAATCACATCCTGAACATGCTTGCATTGTTGCTAAAAATGGTCAGATAAGTTACATGAATTAAGTTTCGAAGAAAACTGCTTATTCACTCGTTTATGTGCCTTTACAATAAGTTGTCAGATAATATTCAAATGATTTTCATCACGAATTAGCAACAGTTGCAGAGCTGAGAAAACTGTACACTTATGCTATTGGTTAGTTAGTTGGCATAACTCCAGCTAATATGATATGATAAACGTTATTATTTTTAGAATTATTAAACTCTTTTAAATATCCGAAAAAAATTTAAATACTTATTACATGAATGTTGGCTTTTGTAACTCACCTACTGTGGTGCGAGCTACTTAAAAGTAGTATATGACGTGAGTGTCAACGTAATGTCTGGCAGGCAGAAGATGGGCGAAGATCAACAAAAGGAAGAGTTAGAAGAACACAATGGAATTTGTATGGAACACATGAATAGTGACAATGGATTGATGTTTGGCAACAGGAACAGTCCAGTTCGATATGATGATGGACTGATATTTTGCAAATGAACGATTTACGATATGGTTTTCCAATTTTACTGAGTAACTCTGTAATTTTCGTTAAATACAATTCGGTTGCCCTCACCTGTGTTCTCTTTCACTACACTACCGTTGTGGTCATCAGCTTTAACAAAGCCGAAAAACAATGTTTACGGAGTTCACATTTCATCCACACTGAAAGCAACATACAATTCACTAACAACTAAACGTGCCAAATATACACAATGCCTATGAATAAATGCGTTCGGCTATCATTCATGCAATTTCCCACTGTGTACAAACAGAGTAAGTGCTTTAGTTTCCCTACCAAGAACAACGCACATAATACAAACATGTTTCACGAGACAATAAAAAAGGCAAAACAAACTGTCATTTCAAAATCATTTCAGACAGACAGAGCAGTTAACAAATAACACACAACACATTCTTCATCTAGGTCATTGCAATAAATGAATCATCGAAGTAGAATTTTTCAAATACTGGGATACTTGTAAATATTCATTCTTAGTTATAAATTTGTCTGCTTCGGATAAGATAATTGACATATTTAAACTCGAATTAAAAACTACATGATTGATAATACTGAATTTTTTCTCCTTTTAATAAGGATATATCTAAAAATTTGACTGGTGACACATTAAATCCTTTCGGACAACCATGGGGAAACCTCAGTCCTAGTATGCATAAAGCCTCTAAACAAAGTGAACCATTGAAAACCGATGACCTTGAATGCCAATACATTGATTGGTTGAAGAGTATCGGACAATCAACAAACACAGTGAGTTTTTATATTGATCAGATTATCAGTTTTAATTTTCAGTTTTATGAATGTACTATTGCCTATAGCGTGTCTATTGTTAATGATGATGATGATGATGATTGTACTTTAAATAAGACAAAGTAGACAATTGTTCATTGAAATTGTATGGCATAATGTCATGAGACCAATGTTAGTGAAACATTTTAACATTTTTGAAACCATGAATCGATCAATGTTAGACCACCATTAGAAGCCTGGAAGCACTGAGAGACGGCCGTTTCATCCTAGTATTGGACTCCTCAGCAGTGCGCATCCACGACTCCTGCACCCGGCAGGATTCGAACCCAGGACCTTCAGTATCGTGTGCGAACGCCTAACCACTGGACCACTGAGACGGTACCTAATGGTGTTAATGTCTAACTTGGTCAATTCACAGAGTTGCGCAACCTCATACACAGTCTTCGGTAGTTACTGTCTACACCCGAACAGATTAAACTTCACTGGTTACGTCTTCCAACTAGAACTCGGAGAAGATTCCTCACGAAGCTAGTCACTAGTGAGCACAGGTAATTTGCATTACGGGGTTGTTGAGAAGATTGTTCAGTTACACAATTTTGAAACCATCAATCGATCAATGTTAGACTACCATTAGAATGGTTTCAAAAATGTGTAACTTAACAATCTTCACTACTCCGTAATGCAAACATTTTAACATCAACAAAGTAGTGTTCGTTTTTTCAATGTACTGAAACTCAACTGCCAGTAGATTTTAAGCTTCAAAGTACAGAGTATTAAATTAAATCTTTAAGTATGAGTAATGAAAAAACGAAAATCTGTCGTGGAATCACCTCATTACTAGTGAATTATTTTCAGAGATAAATCTAGGCGTACTAGTAGTGAGAAGCTACCACCAGTGTAGACTAACCCCAATCGAAAATAATGACAATTACCTACCACCAGTGTCATTCGGTGATTGTCATACAATATTGTGAAATCGCTTTACTTATAATTATAAATATTTATAGAGAAATGAGAAGACATATTTTGTGAGATAGTACCATTTCGTGCTTTCTCGTCAGTCACCTCCACTTCACTAGTTTCTGCCCCATACAATATAAACGTTCTGTTGTCAAAACTTTATTCGCTCGAGCAAGTAGAATCTGCACTGCTGCTGATACATTGAACGACGAATTCAAGCTTATTACTGAGACACTTAAATCAAACGGATATCCCGAAACGTTTATTGGTCATCAGAACACAACTATGACGAAGCTGATAGCAACTGATGTGCCCAAGAAACCAGTGTACCTACAGTTACCTTTCAAAGGTGATCATTGCATGAAAATTACAACCAAACAGACTGCAGCTGCAATAAAAAAGACCTTCAATGTAGCTAATCTGAGGCTTATCACAACAACTCAATCGATCTCAGTTACCCCAATCAAGTCTCCAAGACCGATTCAGTTCAAATCCCACTGTATTTACCAATTCACATGTAACTGTGGAGAAAGTTACTTAGGGAGGACAGATCGCGGATTGGAAGACAGGATAAGGGAACATATTCCAAAATGGTAAATCAAATCCATGATTAATCAACCTAGCCCATCATTTCAAAATCGATCAAGAAACCCAGCCTCGTCCATTGCAAAACATCTAATGATGAGTGGTCATCAAATTGACCCGAAATCAGCCTTTAGAGAGTTGTGACATGTCATCAAAACCCACACACACACTGAAACTACTCGAAGCTATCTTGATTGGTCGGAAAGCTCCAAGTTTATGTGTTCAAAAATAACTGTATGTTGACCTTTGTTTACCATGGTTCTTCTAGTGAGTGAATGTCATGCTAAATAAGACATTTTGACCTTATCTTCAAAACTGTATTTACACACAAATAACATGTTGCTTGTATGTGACTGACGAGAAAGCACAAAATATGTCTTCTCATTTCTCTCTGTTCAAATTTATCAAAGGGAACCATTGTTTTGAATAAATATTTATCAGAAAATGTGAAAATCCTGTTTTCCATCCCTAATAATAAAATCCTAACTCGATCAAAATAACAACTATCCAATGTTTCTTAGTTTTCAATAATTCTCAAACATCAATGGATAGTGTGAATATGATGACAATCAATCTAAACAATCACCGTAATCTTCTACAAAAATAATAAAAAACTATTGATTACTTTGGTTTGATTTACTTAATGTATCATATTACTGATGATCAGAATAAAACATAAATCTTGTTTGTTTTTTAAATCAGAATTTCTATATATGTATGTTTATATTATCATCTATACTCTAGTAGATATCATCAAATTGTCATACTAAAATAACAACAATACTAGTTTACTTTGTAAGCTACTAGCGAATATTTCGTTTGATCTAGCATCAGTTAACATTTATGTGAATGTATGCGGTATTAATAATAAATACTATGTAATAATATCAAGATCACATTCCAACTTTTACTGGCATAATAGAATAGTCTTTTTTGTTCATGTAGATTGAATCATTTAAAAATTTTTAAACAGTTAAGATAAATTGTAATACGTGGTGGTGAAGAGATTGTTAAATTACACATTTTTGAAATCATGAGTCGATCAGTTGTTAGATCAGCATTAGACCAACCTGGAATCACACTGGACGGCAATCAGTCAGTCAGTTGCAACGTAGAACTTCGAACGTAAGTATGTACATCAGTTCATGTTGCCATACCACATCAGTACAGAGATATAATTGTCAATTCAAATCCAATAGTAGAAGAGGTAGTGAAGGTATTAGAAGTAATCGGAGAGGTTAGGATTAGAAGATATTATTCAAGAAGTATGATTCAATGAGAAAAGTTTAGAAAGTCAAAATCAGAGGTGTTGAAGAATCCAGAAGATTAGGATTTGAGAGAACACAAAGAATAAATGCATCGGCGCCATTGCGAACGATTTTGAGCCATGTCATTCAAGGTCTCTAACCATCGATTATTATCATCTCGCGGACCCCAACCAGGTAGTCGACACCTACCGACATGACTCAGTCCAATTGTCAGTGACTTCATGGATTTCTGCCATGTTTTGGTTTGCCCGCCCTTAGATTTCTTCCAACCTATTCCTACACTACAAAACAAAGCTCTTCGAGGCAGTCGGTGGTTAGGCATACGCAACACACCACCATCCTTAAATATCTCAGGGGCCAGTCTATCAGGACCCGCAGCTGGCCCTCGCTTCAGATTTCCTAACGCTTTTTAAACTTCATTAAGACTAGGGGGACTTAAGTCGATTTGCCATTCAGGATGACTGGAGATCGTGGGTAACCGAAGAGTGGCTCGAGGCCAGTTGAACTGAAGTGTTCTGCCCATCAATCTAGTCTCCTGGATTGAGAATAAATAATAGTCCCATCAGATCGGTGGATGCTACTGAGATCCACGGCTTCATTGTAGCCTTATGGTCAACCTTACTAGCAGATATCACTGCCGTTTCCACAGCCTTTTTGATATCATTCCAACCTGCCTCCGGATGGGAATCGCTTAAATGGTCGCCTAACTGGACGGCAATTTCCCTCCTGGTATACGATTCATCAAATGCCCAGCTCAGTGATCCAGAGGTTAGGCGCTGGTGTGCAAGACCGGAGGTCCTGAATTTGAATCCTGCCGGGTGCAGGAGTCATCGTGGATGCGCACTGCCCCTGATGAGTCAGTCCCATACCAGGATGAAACGGCCATCATTCAGTGCTTCTTCCAGGTGGTCTAACATTGATCGATTCATAACTTTAAATATTTATTATGATAAAAAAATGTTTTATTTTCGTGTATTTTAGATCAATCCTATGGAATTAAATGGAAATCCTATGAATATATATACTCAAAATAATTATATGTACATAGAATCAGCCACAAATAATGAAAATGACTTTCCTACTCCTCAGATAAAACCACAATGTTCACTAGAAGACAATTTTAGTCATAACACCTCGTTATCTAGCGTAAATAATAAATTGTTATCAAGAATATCTACACCATTGGATAGTAATAATAATAATAATAATCACAATACTTCATCAGTAAGTTATTTTGATATATCTAATTCACTGTCAATCTACTTATATTTAATTTTATACCACTGAACGATGGTTTGCTATGAGTAACGTATGGTCTTTTGTACCTTACCTCCGTACGAAACGTCTAAGTTTTGTAATTGCATTAGGAACTGCTTCCTTCCTTACTTACTTACTTACTTACACACTTACTTTCGCCTGTTACCCCTAGTGGAGAACATAGGCCACCGACCAGTATTCTCCAATCTACTCTGTCCTGAACTTCCCTTTACAGTTCTGTCCCATTTTTTTTTATTCTTCTCATGTCTGGCACCAGTTCTCGGCATAATGTGTTTCATGGTCTTCCTCTTCTCCTTTGACCTTGAGGAGTAAACGTGAGGGTTTGTCTTGTGACACAGTTGACCATTTTCCGCAATGTATGTCTTATCCACTTCCAGTGATTCTTTCTGATTTCTTCCTCCAATGGAATGTGGCTCGTTCTTTCCTACAGTAGGTTGTTGCCGATGGTGTCTGGCCAAGTATTTTGCGTAAACATCTGTTAATGAATCCTTGTATCTTCTGGATGATGGCTTTGGTAGTTCTCCAAGTTTCCGCTCCATACAGTAGAACTGTCTTGACATTTGTATTGAAAATGCTGATTTTGGTGTTGATTGATATTTGTTTGGAGTTCCAGATGTTGTTCAATTGTAGAAATGCAACCCTACCTTTGTCGGTCCGCGCCTTCACATCTGCATCGGATCCACCTTGATTGTCGATGATGCTACCCAGATCTATAAAGGTTTTTACGTCCACCAAGGCATCTACATCAAGAGTGATTTTTTTTTTGCGCAAGTTGTGTTGTTTCGGTAAAATTATTTCAAACTAGAAACTAAATCCTTTTTACAAACTAGCGTAATAAAATATGTTAGGTCCGTCACTAGGTATGCTTGAAACTATTAAGGATTCACTTTAGTCGATCAACAAGAACGAGACAATGAACCAGCGTCAAGGTAAGTTAGTCTAATCCGTTGACTCGAAACGGCTAAAGAGAAGTCTTGATATAGTGTAGAAAGTATATTCTACAAACACCCAGCAAACACAATGCAATCAAGCACACAAATCTCGTTTATTTATACACAATAGAAACGTCCTTTTGACAGTCACAAAAATACACAGCAGCCAATCACAGCCAAAGATTTTCCTGGTAGGAGATGAAATCTCAAAGTCAACTGATCAGCCCATGCTCGGAGACGTAAAATCCAAATTAAGGCCTTTTTTCAAGCAAATTCTGGGGATCTAACGTCTCCAACACAATATAACAACAGTTGATTGTTGTTTTCATGATTGATCGAAATAATCTTTTTCATTCAAATAACTTGAAGGTATAAGGACTTTTTCTTTACAATGTTTTCATATATAACTGTGAAAGTAGTTAACATAGCAGCGTTTCATTGATTTTTTTTCAAAAAAATACCTATTTTAATCATGAACAATGTTAAAAATGAAATGCGTAGAGAGAGAGAGAGAGAGAGTGAAACAGGAGAGTATAAGTATCAGTACCAACCAAGGTGGGATTTGATAATTTCACAAAAATTGAACATTGAATGAAAAGTTACTGGCAATAAAATCATTTAACACTTTCAATGATATTTTCAATGAGTAGACATTTTTCTATTATTGCCGTTACATGACTTCCTTCAATCAGCTTGTGGTGCGCGCTACTTATATGTAGTATATGACGTGAGTGTAAACGTAATGTCTGACAGCAGAAGATGGCGGAAGATCAATAAAGGAAGACTTAGAACACAATGGAATTTGTATGAAACGCATGAATAGTGAAATAAATGTCAGACAATGGATTGAAGATTTGCAAATTAACGGTTACGATGTGGTTTTCCTATTCTACTGAGTAACTCTGTAATTTTCTGATAAATGCAATTTTCGGTTGCCCTCACCTGTGTTCTCCTTCACTACAAGCTTACTTCAGAGTCAATAAATAAATAAATTGAATTTATCGATTATTATTATTATTGAATTAGAGAAGGCTTTTATTGTGATTCCATCAAAATCTCAATCTTGGGATGGTGGAGAAAACCTGTAGCTCAGGTAGATGATTGTGGTGGTGTCTCGTTCTCTGAGCTGGTTGTTTTGGTTGTGAAGCTTTCATTGTTCTTCTGTTGAACAACATCATCAGCACAAACTTCTTCAGATAGAAGTGAAGCATTCGAATTTCTCCACGTTTGACCTGTAGCTTCTTGTTCTGCTAACCTCGATCTTGATTGGTTGCTGTTGTCTTTTGACCTGTCGTTGTTTGCACCTTTGTTTTGATTGTATCCCCCTTTTGATCTGTTTCTTGATCCTATGTCACCTATGATTTTTCTGATTGGTTGATAAATTGGGTCAATGTCGATATGTTTGTTGATTGCTGATTGATTGACCTGAATTCCAAGCTTCTGAAAAATTCTCTAGTGTTCTTTGTCCTCACCCCCTATCCAGAGAATTTCCACATTGTCCCAATCGAATGTGTGTCCATAATTATCGGTATGTATTGATTGATATAAGCGAAGAATTGCCATGGCCTTTGACTGCTAATTGATGTTCACGTAAACAAAGCTGAAGGAGGCCGTCCACTTTGTCCTATGTAGTGTTTTTTTTTTCACAGTCTGAGCAGTTGTTTATTTTGTAGAAAAATGAAAACTCCACAATCAAAACAACATCCAGCTCAGAGAACGAAAAACACCACCACCAGCACAAAAATCTCAATCGTTCTCTCAACATGTATGTAACAACTCACTTTCTCATCAATGCATTTCATTCTCGATTAAATTATCTCATTCATAGACAATATATGATGATGATGATGATGATGACTATTGTGTTATACACAGACAGCATGAATAAAAAATAGTATTCAAATTTCAATGATATGTCATTTGAATTTTTGTTTTTCTGTTGTTTGTTTGCTTAAACCAAATTTTATTGATTAATTATTTCACATACATGTTTCAGTTTTTTCTCTGTGTAATATATATATATATATATCTGTAAACGGAATGTATGAATGTCAGCTTATGCTTGACAAGAGTGGATCAATAACTATGTGACGGTTGCATATATATATATATATATATATATATATATATATATATATATATATATATATATATATATATATATATATATATACATGTCTATCCACTAAGCGAAACGCATTCTCATTGTAAATAAGAATAGTTTTTGTGGCATTCTTATCATCCATGTGTCTACTAGCCAACAGAGATCAATCAAATTCGCAGTTTATTACCAAAAGGGATGAAATACAAACAATCATTTAGAGTTTGTAAAAGATAGTGTATTGAATTACAACTCAGCACTACTCGAAGTCATATTTTTCTGCAGTTGTATGCTAAACAGCATTCAATTGGTTATCTTGGAATGTAGTCACTATTGAATTGCTCGAGGATGATTTCTAAGACTCTCACAGCCAGTAATATTAGTCCGTAACTCATAATAAGATTTAGTTCTTTTTTTTGGATCTCACGTACGCCCTGATGACGAGTGATAGATAACACAAAATCTGGTATCGATTACCTTCAACCACTTAACCGCACAGCCTATTAATTTCTAGCTTTGCGAAACATACATATAACAGTTTACTCTTTAATGATTTTGAATAATCTAAGATGCATTCTGTTGTCTTAATTATTAAGTATGAAGCGATCAAACTGATATGTCTTTACTCGGAGTATCACAATTGTTTACTGGTTTATAGCTTTGATAATGATTGTATGACATGTGTTCGTAGTATAGAACTAACCAAAAAACTATCATTCACCTTTGCTTATCTGATTAAGTTGAAAAAAAATCTGTAAACAGAGTACATAAAAACATGAGTTATTGCAATCACTTCACTGAACAGAAATACTTACGTTACGTAACTTACGCCTGTTATTCTCAATGGAGCATAGGCCGTCAACCAGTGTTCTCCAACCAACTCTGTCCTGGGCTTCCCTCTATAGTTCTGTCCAAATTTTGTTCATTCCTCTCATATCTTTCACTATTTCTCGGCGTAATGTGTTCCTTGGCCTTCTTCTTTTCCTTTTGCCTTGGGGGTTCCCTGTAAGGGTTTGTCTCGTGACGCAGTTAGGTGCTTTTCGTAGTGTATGTCCTATCCACTTCCACTGCTTCTTCCTGATTTCTTCCTCCACTGGAATCTGGTTTGTTGTCTCCCAAAGTACGTTGTTGCTGATGGTGTCTGACCAACGAATCCGAAGTATTTTGCGTAAACTACTGTTAATGAATCCTTGTATCTTCTGGATGATGGCTTTGGTAGTTCTCCATGTTTCCGCTCCATACAGTAGAACTGTCTTGACATTTGTATTGAAAATGCTGATTTTGAAAGTTGTTTGGAGTTGCAGATATTTTTCAACAGTAGAAATGCAGCCCTTGCTTTGCCAATCCGTGCAGAGGCTGCTGCCACACTGGTCGTCTTCTCTTGCATTTGTTGTTGCGTATGCAATAGAAGAGCCAGATCATCTGCGAAGTCCAAATCATCCAGCTGCTTCCCAGCTGTCCATTGGGTACCGTGCTTCCCTCCAGATACCGACATCTTCATAATCCAGTCGATCATCAGGAGAACGAGAAAGGGTGAGAGTAAGCAACCTTGCCTCACACCGGTCTTCACCTCGAAAGAGTTTTTTAGCTGTCCTTCGTGCTCGATTTTGCAGTTGAATCCATCATACGAGTTCCGTATGATGTTGACTATTTTCTCAGGCACACCGTAGTGTCGAAGAAGCCTCCACAGTGTTTTCCTATCCACACTATCGAATGCTTTCTCGTAGTCAATGAGGTTGATGTAGAGTGGTGATTTCCATTCAACTGATTGTTCCAAAATGATCCGTAATGCTGCAATTTGCTCTGTACATGATGTATCCTTACGAAATCCAGACTGTTGGTCTCGAAATTGGGTGTCTACGAAATCCTTCATTCTGTTTAACAATACCCTGTTGAAGACGTTGCCTGGTATTGAGAGAAGAGTGATGCCCCTGTAGTTCTCACACTTTCTGAGATCGCCTTTCTTTGGTATTTTGATCAGGTATCCTTCTTTCCAATCTGATGGTACTTATTCCTCATCCTAAATCTTGTTGAAGTGGATGTGAAATATTTTCGCAGTTGCTTCCACATCTGATTTTATTGCCTCTGGTGGAATGTTGTCTGGTCCTGCTGATTTGCCGCTCTTGATTTGTCTGATGGTCACGCTGATCTCCTCAATTGTAGGTGTGCCAATATTAATTGGGAGGTCCGTGGATGCTGCTTCGATGTTGGGTGTGTTCAGTGGAGCTGGTCGAACTGAACAGAAATAGACAAGAGTAAAACAAAACCAGAAGCTTAGATGCAACATAATCACATTCTAATTAGCCTCAAAACCTACTTTCAGATAACAATGATCATCCTAGGTTAGCAAGTTAACGAAATAACACAAAATCAAGGTATTTCAGTTATATGCAGTTTAACGAAAACCTGTTTAATGAGGCCAACTAACTGGATATGTAGTGAAGGCGAACACAGGTGAGGGCAACCGAATTGTATTTAACGAAAATTACAGAGTTACTCAGTAAAATAGGAAAACCATATCGTAAACGGTTGATTTGCAAATCTTCAATCCATCTTCAATCCATCATCAATCCATTGTCTGACATTTATTTCACTATTCATGCGTTTCATACAAATTCCATTGTGTTCTTCTAACTCTTCCTTTCTTGATCTTCCCCCATCCTCTTCTGCTGCCAGACATTACGTTGACACTCACGTCATATACTACTTATAAGTAGCGCACACCACAGATACTTATGATAGGTAACTTTAAACATATTGATTGATTGATGTCAAATCTACAAATTAATCAGAATGATGATATAAATATCTTTGTTTAACATTATCTTTATCTTTATCCTTTATGGTTTTGTTTTTTATGAAACAAAGGAAACTAAACGTAATTTATTATTGGAGCATTTAATGGTCCAAAGACAGAGATTGGCAACAGCCGATGCATCAGTTGCATTACTAGCAAAGAGATTAATGTTGGTAAGTTTTTTCCCAAGAAGAGTTCTGATCACAATTCGTCGGTAGTATTTATAAATGTTGTTTACATACGTTTACATACCTTCTTCTATGTATTTGCTGCTATAAAAATTGAAGTTTGAAAGTTTGATGTTTGGTTCACTGAAGTAATTATTTTTAAATTTTAATTGTACAACTTTTTCCACTAAAAAATGTAAACAAAACATGAACAATTAGTGTAGCAGAATAATATGAATTCATTTTATTTCGCGGTTTATCGTCAATTCAAAAATATGTCTTATGTCGTCAAATTGATTCAGTTGGCTATGGGTAGCTCAGTGGGTCAAATCCTGACAGATATATTTATGGAAAACCTAGAATACACAGCAATGAAATCAGTAATCAATAAAGCGAGTGTTGGGGATGTTAGATCCCCAACACAACTCGCTTGATAAATGCCTTATTTTGTTTGGATTTCATGTTTGCCAGCATGGGCTGATCAGTTGAACTTGAGATTTCATTTCCCACCATGAAAATCTATGGCTGTGATTGGCTACTGTTTATTTTAGTGTGCTATTTTCTTAACTGTCCCACTAGGACGTTTCTATGATGTATAAATAAACGAGAGTTGTGTGCTTGATTGTGCATTGTGCTTGTTGGGTGTTTGTAGAATATACTTTCTTACGCTTACAAAGACTTCTATCTTCAGTTTGGGATTCAAGGTAGCCTATCTGGACACTGGTAATTGTCTCGATTGCGTTTATCGACTAAGGTGAACTCGCAATAGCTTCAAGCGCACCTAGTGACGAACCCATACAACGAGGCTGTACGTCAGGTATGTGGACGATAAGCTTGCCACTTGTGATGATTATCAACATACTTCTTGGCATGGCACAGGTAAATATAAGATTTAAAAAGAAACACGAATATGACAGTGTGTTTCATTTTGTGGACCTTACTATGAGGCGTTATACAAATGGTCAGTTGGAAAGATATGTCTAACGAAAAGACACAACAGCTTCTGTCCAATAAGCTATACAAAAAAGCCTTGGTTAGAATGCTTTTCACTTGTGTCATAAAGTTATATTTAGGAAATAAAGTTCATGAGGAATTATTCATAGTTAAACGTTGTTTGTATAATAATGGTTACATTCAAAAATTCATGACAAAGTGAATAAAGACAACAGCAAAGGAAATGGATTATGCTAAGATAGTAAAATAGCCTGTCTTCCTAAGATTTGACTTCAGGGACTATCAAACGGTGAGAACGAATGATTTCAGATGAGAAGCCATAATAAACAGGACGTTTGCTACTTGGCGGGTGTAACTATGACTCTCTTAAGGTAGCCAAATGCCTCGTTATCTAACTGAATGGGTGTATTAGGTGACGTGCATAAATGGAGCCTTTTGGGGGTTGTGGTGTCGGTTACCTCATTGTGGTCCTGCCAGGCAACGTGGCGTTGTTTACAGCACTGAGGCTAAAAGCCGTTCCGAACGCTTAGGATACCATTCTCAGCATGGTCCAGAATAATGGTACGTGTTCATGCTCGCAAGGCCGTGGATGCGGTTTTGCTACTCTGGGGGATTAGGACCGAACGTATCTAAATCTGAATCCCGTCCACTGAGGGTAGGTAAATTTGAAATAATGGCATAAAACTTCCCAGCTTTCTTGAAGGCTGCCCTAGACGATTTGTTTGGGGAGAAGCTGTAAAGGTCCTGAAATATTGACGCTGACTTTGTGTGGTTGTCCCAAACACTCTGCATCTCGGTGCTATGTGTCAACTGGCGTCGAGGCAGGTTCCCCAGTTGGATTATGTGATCCAGTGCTGAAAGGGTACTGGACACCAATGATGTCTGCCCACCTATCTAGTGTGACTGACCCTGCTTGCGCTTGGTCGAGTTCATGAAATCTACCCGATGGGAGGGTGTACGTTCCGGCTGACCTTGTGGGACAAACTCGATCTTTAGCTTCATGTGGAGTTTGGGGGCTCCGATCGATTGTATCAGCGCAAGGCAGTTGGAGGCCAGACAGTTGGAACGGCTGCTGGATGGCTCGGCAGTCCGTTCGGGGCGCCAGGTCTAGCTGGGTAAAGCCGCCTTGCCGCCCTTGCCGAATGGGGATTGTGCGCAGTGGATTGGTTGGAGGGGTCGAGTTGATTCATAAGTGCCCGAATAGGGGCCACTGCTCGTAGGCGTGCTTTTTGGACGTCTACTTGTCTGCAGACCAATCTAGACAACATATGCGTTCCCGTATGGGGCAGGGGTGATCGCAAAATTTGCTTTTGTAAGAATCTTTATGTTGCCTAAAAAGCAGCGGCGTGCATGTGCAGCAGGCTTGTGTAAATTCTCTGTATCATACAAACGTGTGGACTAATTACTCCCGCATGTTACCACCAATTGTATCTGACAGTTTACACGTATGGGCCAATGCACATATATAACATAAAGGGGAATTGCTGCCCACATTTCTGAGCGCATTTCACAGAAGCCAAAACCAAAGGAACAGTACGTGGTAAACAATGTGGCTGCACACCATTTTCTTGACAGAGGTCAGTCGTAACTTTGATACCTCAAACTCCTAAAGGTAATTGAACAACAAAGAGGGTTCGACTTGCATTACTCTTATCTTAAAAGTTACATAATTACAACTTCTAATTTCTAAATAATTCCATTTCTATGTCTCTAATTGTTTAGTCTAGAATATTTTTTATATTCAGCCAATAAACATATACACATAAATATTATTTCTTATAATCCTTATCACATATCCATTAGTTGTATACTGATGAAGACTTATGATATAAAGTACATAAACTGACTTTTAATGGTGAATACTATTATACTTCGGTTATAAGAAGTTGACGAGAAACAACCACATTATAAATTGAATTAATTTTATTCTGCTACGTTAATTGTTCTTGATTTAAATCAAGTTTTATTTGGCTTCACGTAATTCTTCCAACATATCAATCTTTGGGCGTCCGAGTAGTAGCCCAGTTTTACTCACAAATTCAACAATTTGAGTAGTGTACAAATAGTTAGGTGCCCCTATGTGTATCTATGTTTATGCGTTTCATATCAGTAAAATGATAAATCCATCTTTCTTAGTAAATTACATGAACTAAAAAAAGAACAGTTGATTGTAAACTGTATACATCTAGAATATTTGAAAATGTCAAAATAAAATCATTCAAATTTTAGTTCAAACTAAACCTTTTCTAATTCACTTACAAAGTAAGGACAAAGAAAGGACAATCTAGTGTAAGAAAATTATACTACTAACAAAGAACTTAGTAGTGTAAAAATAATCTCATAATTATTTTCGGATTTTTTTTTGTGTGATTCATTTAGCTCAATACTAGTCCCAAAGGACAATTGGATAATACGATGGAGAAATCAATAGATAAACAAAAGATTTCATATTCCAGGAATCTTTCAGAGAAGAACATATCAATATGTGATGAGCTGGTGAATAATCAGTTGTTAAATAACCACAATTCATTGACTCCAAATATTCTTCGTAATTCAAAAATGACCACCAGTGGCAATGTCACTCCAACAGTTCATAGTGAATATTCTACGAATGGCATAGTTCGATCTCAATTACCGCATAGTTTTGAGGATGATATTTTGAATCATGGAAATTCATTAAAACCTAAATTAACAGGTAAGAGAAATATTATAAAATTGTTTTGTTTTTTTAAACCGAATATAACATTTGTACAATGAATCTATCAAGATTAGGTAACCAGTATTTTCATAATTAATTATACACGGTCAGTAATCAATCATCAACAATTTACTGTTGAATGTACCTCTTTTTATAATAGTGTGGTTTAGTTTATTGAAAATTTTGTAGCATTATTACTTCGAAGAACGAGTGTACTGCGTAGCAGTTTGCTCTGTCCTACTATACATGGAATCTAATCAGTGCTGATGTCCTGGTGATTGACGAAATCTCAGCACAGATACATACATAAGGATCAATTGGCCTTTTTCAACTTGTATCATTTATGGCGAAGGCAAGATATCTATTTGCTGACCAA